TTAAAATTTCACAGGTCCTCCATGGTCTTAAAATAATCTCATGAAAGTTTCACCTGAAAATTTTGAAAATTACAAGGAATTTTAAAAAGTCCAAAAATAACTTGGCTTCATGTGGGCCTACAAATAGTATTAAAAATAAAATTTGACTGGAAAATAAGAAAAAAAAATCCTAATTAGATAAAATTAATAGGCCACGAAAAGAAATTTTAAAATTTTTTAAACATTGATTTAAAAAAAAATCATTAAATTTTAATATTTTAATTTAAAATCCAATTAAAAAACTATTTTATTTCCCTATTTCCTTGCTTGAATAATCATTGCTCCAAGTCAATGAGTAAAATGATTACATCCTGAGCAATTACATCCTATCTTAAGTGGCACCAAATCAACTCCCAAGGTAGGTTTTTGATAGAAAAAAATCAAGTATTATTGCACATTAATATGCCCATCGAGTTTTGCTCTGTATATGTAATTTCGGCTCTCCTACTTGCGAGTTTCAGCAGTTAAAAGGCTGTGATTATCCCGCTAATTGAGATCTGTGCTCAGTGTTGCGAAGAAAATTCGGTGAAAATTTATAAATCACTCGAAGAAATCCACATTGGGACAAGTAGCGCGCAATTAGCCCATTATTCAAAAATCCTCTCGGCCATTTTGGACGGAAGTTGAAATTCGGCCGATTGCAGTGCACGCGTGAGGTCGGTCAAAGGCTATCATTATGGTCGAATTTCTCTCCTGGATTATATTTATATGTATGAGCGAGCGAGCCGAGCGGCGATTCGCAATTAGCCGATTACAATATCAACACGCTGCTTTTTAATTTGATATGTATCTGCGTCGGTCGAGCTGAAATCGAGATTCTTTGTTTGCCGCCTCTAATAATAATACAACTCGGCAGGAAGACAAGACCATTCACCTAAGACACGTTATTTATGGCGCTCGGACCCAAAATAAGATGTTTGGTAATGAAACGACCAACGTACAAGAAGTTGTTTATAAATTCTTGAGATCCAAAAACACATTGTAAGGAATATTTTTTTTCCAATTAAAGTTTTGTCTGTTGAATTTAATTTAAATTTCTGCATGCAGAGATAATTGGAATTATTTAAGAAGTTAAAATTTTGATATTAGAATCATCCCGAAATTGTTCATTAATAAATTCAAAATTCAAAGTCCTGTGAAAAAATGTCAAGATCATCTTCTGTTATGAATACCTTGAATTATAATTAGTAATTAATAATTATTTACGCTTTTTAATATACATTTTTAGAGTCTTTAATTTCATTTGTTAGGAATACAAGTGAAAGAGTATTTCGCTCAATTCAGTTCAATTATTATAATCTTGCTTGGAAAATTATAGATATCTCATTTTTTTGAAAAGTTATTTATTCTGAAATTTATTATTATTTTACTTTGTTTAAGACAAATTTTGATTGAAGTTTAAAAAAAATTTCCTTTGTATTTTGGTACCATGTTTTAATATGGGAATAGGGCCATAATTATTTATCTTCATTTTTAGAATTTCATTTCAGTTTCCATTCCTTGCATTTTGGATTTCTCAGCATCAACACTGCTGCACTGAGTTGCAAATGAGTTAAATCTCTAAAGAAATTTTATGTGGCCAGAGTGAAAGGAGGCCTTGACTTTGGTCTTGCTTTTCGGCGTGGTGAGTGACATAAATTAGAGGGTGAGAGAAAGCAGACGCCCTCGAATCTTTCTTTCGAACAAGTTTAAAAGCATTTTACCAGGAAGGAAGCAATCACTTTTTTACTCAAATCGCTTTTTACAATTTTCAAAAATGAACTGCTTCTCTGCTTTAAAAGAAAAAAAATGGACGTTTTTATCTCTCTTGAGGGCTCGCACACGGAGAAAAACGGCTCAAAAGTCGTGATGATATTCTCTGAATTATCTTAATAAGTTAATTTCGGCCGAGGTGCCTGCTTTTTTAATATTTATTAATTATGTTGTTTTGGTGCGAGTGATCCACGGGTGGTCCCTTTCATCTCGAGCGCCGGCCGCTGCTTTTATCTCCGATCTCTTCAACGTGAAGCCAGGCCCGGACTGAACTATTTAAGAAAAGGACAAGAGAACGAGATATTTAAAAAAAGAGACTGATTATCGGATTGTTTTAGTTCAAATGATACAATTGTAAAAGAATGTGTGTTACAGTTGAAAAATATAAAATATTATGAAAAGCTCAATGTAAAATATTTTACGAAGAAGAAATTTATTTAATTTTATTTATAAAATTTTAAAATCACCATCCAGTGGTTTATATTTTGTATTTTTTTAAGCTCTTACAATTAATCAGTCCGGAGCTGATGGCATATCTAAAGCAAGAGAAGAAATATCTGACTCGGCCGCACAATTACCATAATACATGCATAAATATTTCCCCTAACTCATTGTGATGAAGACACTGCTCTCAGAAAACTAGTTTGTCAAAAAGGTCAATTGCAAATTACTTATTTTTATTTTTCTAAGTATCAAAAACAAAATTACTCCGGTGCAGTTAAAAATTTGAAAAAACGGAGGTGCATTAATGTTGATTTATGTTTTTAAAGTTAACTTCCAGAGTCATAAGAGTAAAGTGAACTTTGCTTTATCTTATTAAATAGAACTAGCTGAATGCAAATTAATTCGTTTTGGTGCTACTCTTTTTTTAAGATCAGAATAACAGGGACGTTTTTGAGCTTATTTTTTTTTACCACGTGTATTATATTGATTCTAGTGGACGAATTTTATTTACAGAAAAATGCGTCTTATAAAATCGTAAACTTTTTATCTCGGAATGAAAAAATAAATAATTATTTTAATTTTTAAGGAATATTTACTGAATCTGGTCCGAAATTAACCAATTAAAATATTATAATTTTTTATTTTCTCAAATTAAAAAAAAACACACAGCAAGTGTCTTCAATTTAGTTGAAATTTGCAAATTTTTCCCATCAAAATTATCAAGATCAATAATAAAGCATTAAAATGAACAGCCGCAAGTGTAATTTATTTTATTCCGTCCGTCATGCAAATTCCTGCAATGTTAATGAGTTCCATCGGACTCGAATAAGTAAGAAGATTCAGAATAAAATATTGGATCGTGTGTGAGTTGCTCGCACGGAGAAGAAAAAAGCGACGCGGCGGCTGGCAAATTAAAGGGTTGCGGCGTCGTAATGAAATTGATTAGGGATTTTGGCTTGTTATCAGAGACGCGCCCGCCTTTTACACTAACTAATACGCGCGCATGGAATATTATACATTTCGGTGTTTCGCGTGCAGCAACTCTCGTCTGACAACTCCATCTACGCACGCGGGCCAATTAGAAATAAATCAGAAGAGGAAAACTCCAATTCCTTCAAGACTACTGTTAATTAGAAGAGTGACAAAAAAAAAATTATTTTTAAGAATGTCACGTTAAAAATAAAATGATTTGTAATATATTTTATTTTAAAAAGATTTTTATTTTTTTATTTTTTACTAATTTATTAAATTAATTAAAAAAAAAATTAAGTTAATATTATAAATCCAATGGATGATAATTATATTTTGTTGGTATCTAATTGTGTTTAAATTTTGAACTCTAAATTTAAACACATAAATATTTTGTTGACATAAGGAAACCTTCAAATGAAAAGAATAATTTAAATGAATCAATGTAAAAATGTTCCTTTTGATATTGACTTAAAAATCGGGCTGCTTAAATAATTTAGCATAAAGATTTTAAATTTCTTCTTCCAAATTTGACACGAATGAAGATTATCCCTCTTAAAAGCTTTATGAATTTAAAAAAAGGGTTGCTGCCTTTTCACACTGCAATGAAACTCGACCTTGGCGTTAAATTATCACGATAGGCAGCCCATCATCGCTTGCATATAAAAAAATATAATAAATGTGAATTGAAGGAGTGAGGGTTGGTTTTTTATTATTCACAAAATGCACCTGCTTCGGTTATTAAAGTATTCTTTCGAATCATTAGTGTTAGTTTTAATATGGCGATGGAACTGGTTCGCAGGATTAGAGGAACATCTGCGTGTATCGAGTGATAATCAATTATACGCAAAGGCGCGAACGGGCAGCTTTTGTGTTCGGCTCGATTAAGATGAAGCGCTTTAGGGGTTCGACAAAGGGGAGCAGCAGTTTTTGGTTCAGAAGCGACGAGGAATTATTATATTACAATATATGTATGTCAATGCGGTGCAAATTGAGTGAGAGAGGGCGGAACTAAATTGAGAGCGTTATTTACACTTGGCATGAGCAGCCTCTCGATATTGCGTTTTGGCTATCGGGACAAAAAATAATAATTATTCACTTTCCTACAGCTGCAAAACTCCATAAGCAATAAAACTAAATGAAAATAACAGTATAGCAGTTTCTTATCTTGCTATTGTTATTGCTCTTTTAATTTAATATAAAACAATATTAGGTCAAAATAATATTTAAAGTTGCCAAAGCTTACATGATGGTAAAAAATTTAATAATATTTTAATTTATAATTTATCCTCAAATTTATAACTTAAAACAGACTTAAAACAAAAAAAACTCTTTCTAGTGTGGTGCCGTTGTGTGCAACAATTCCTTTAAAAAAGTGGTTTTATCGATGCAAATCAATAAATGATTGTAAAAATGTGGACAAATATAAATGAAAAAGAATAATAACTTTTGAATTATGTTAGCGTAGAAATTGAGCATCATTCATATGGAAAAACAATTAATTTAGAAATTTCATTTACTTTTGCTCTGATTTTTAGCTACATTAGTTCGACTGGTCCTTATTATGCAAGAATTACACACTTTGTTGGCTTAAAAAAATTTTGACTGTAAATTTCACTCAAACTATTTATTTTTATAATTTTTTCCAAACAATTTTTATCGATTTGAGAAACAAAAATACTTATTTTATTCTTCATTCATTTTTTTTTTTTTACTTAATTTAAATTTATTTCTATTGGGGTAGTTTTATTGATAAATGAAAAATGAAACAAAGCTTTGTCGTTTTAGACCAATATCTTGGTGTAACATCTATATTTCGCATTTTTCTCAATTTATATACTGTACATTTTCAATTCATATATCGCATTTCTCATTTCTTACTATGGTACGATATACAATTTCAGCAATAATTTTCTCCGTCTATATTTATTCAAAGGATGACACATATTTTTGCTATATAATCTCATATTAATCTTACGAGTACAACAACAAATTACACGGACAAAAGCTTCAGGCGCGAGACAATGAGTTTATATTTTATATTCACAACAATCATTATCCTAACTTGATATAATATATTGGAAAAAAAATTATCTTTCATACATCGACGTAAGCTTCAAGTAATCTTTATTCAATAGTAGGAAATTCAGCGCTATTTATTTATAATAATAAAGTATGAGGTGGTGTGTATTTTGCTCAATTTCTCATTTTCGCATGCACTTTGTCTCATTCTCAGGTGGTCTCCAATGTTTTAATAAATATTCTACAGGCAGATTTAGCTATTTAAAAGTAATATCGCATTTCCATTTGACGGCCACACATTTATATAATTCAATAATTTACATTTTTGCGCTTAATCAGAGACAGATAGAGAGAGATATATACTTGTGGAGTGTGGATATTTATGCATTTTGTGCCCGTGCAAATTTCAGCAGTCTCACTCAAACACACGTTTTTCTTCAATCAAACACAACTCTGAAGCTTAAATCTAAAAAGTTGATTTTTATTTATTAGTTTCCGAGTGAAAGAAAAGTTAGAGAAATGATAGCAGTTGAAAAAATTAATCACTTAAAAAAATTTGAAATTGAATCCCAACTTTACTGGATTGCAAGAAAAATGAATAGCTGAAAAGCTTAACACATTGGCATAAAAAAAAATTAAAAAAAAATCCTTCATCAGATACAAATCTGAGCCATTTAGAGTTCTTATAACGATTTTAAATCACATTTTTTTCTTCTTTATAAAGATTTTTTTTAAATTTCGAGGGTGAGATAAGCACATAATTCCTAAAAATTATATTTTGAAGATTGTGCTTTTATTCCATGAACTTTTTTGAATTAAAAAAATCAATTTTAATCAAATTTAGAACAATTTTAAATTTGAAATTCGCTTCAGAGTCGCGTGACAAATTCACTCAGGAAATAAATTATAACAGCAGCACTTTAAAAATTGATCAGGAGCGTCCGCTTAAGTCAACAATATAAAACTCAACAAAAAATATATAGTCCGGCTAAATTTAAATTCACAGAGAGAGCATTTCATTCATTTGGCTCCGAACGGCGGCGGGACTCACTTCTCGGCGTTCGAGGCGGCGACGGCCGCGGCCATGACGGCGGCCGCGGCCGCCGCACTCTTGCACTCCTCGACCTTCTTCTTCAGCAGGCCCAGGTCTTGGACGTTCTCGAGGAAGGACTTGTGCGCCGTGAGGATTTTGGCCGACTCGACGTCCTTCTTCAGCTCCTCGAGGTCGCGCTTCAGTTTGGCCCGCCGGTTTTGGAACCACGTGATGACCTGCGCGTTGCTCAGGCCCAGTTGCAGCGCAATCTCGTCGCGGTCGGCCGGCGACAGGTACTTCTGGTACAGGAACCGCTTTTCCAGCTCAAAGATCTGGTGGTTGGTGAACGCCGTCCGCGACTTGCGCTTCTTCTTCGGCTGCTGCCGCGAGTTGAAAAGGTTTAGGTGGCTCGAACTGCCGTCTGCAAAAATATCATGGAAAAATTTATCATTTAATACAATGGTGAACAATTTTTTTTTTATAAATATTTTAAAATGGGCATTTTGATCAATAATTTTAAATTCATACTTACCAGTGAAAAGATCGTTCCACAATTAAAAAAAAAAATGAAACACAAAAATATTACAGCATTTTTATACTGTTCCAATTTTTAAATTTTCCCAGCAAGAAGAGAGTGCAGCAGAAAAAAGTTCTTACTTTTATACACCATTTACAATTAAATAATATAACAAAAATTTAAATCTTTTAAGTTGATTAAAGGAATATTAATGTTCTATAGACAAATTATAATTTTCATTGCTTTAGGCCCATTTGTGCAATGTATTCTAATACAACAAAGCTGATTAATATGATTTTGAAGAAAAGAATTAATGACATTTTTTAATCTTGCAAAAGCAAACGTATCAAAGAAGAATAAGATTACAATAAATATTATTTATACTATTTTTAGTTTAAAAAAGTATACTTTTTTACTTTTCTCTTCACTACATGAAGTAGACATGCCACAAAATTAAAAAGCCAAGCTTTTAGAATTAAAAAAATTTTAAGCACATTAAGTTTTAAATACGGAAAAATTTAAATTATTTATTTCAAGTTTAAAAATTTTAAATGTAATTAAATAATTTAACTTATGTTTAATACTGTCAAGACAATCATAAATATGGTGATTCCAGACTACATTTTATGGGTTAGCAGCACTGGTGACTATACCGGTTTTTACTATATTGCTTATCAATATGGCTGTTTGTGGGTGTGTTTCTCACAGCTGATTGGCAGCTTGCCTACGTTTTTTTACTTTGTTTTTGTTCTGCGTCAAGAAGTGGTTAATTGTGTATCGTGGTGCTTTTTTTAGCGTTTTTGTTACTGGTTGGATAATTACAATTAGTTATACGCAATTATTTTCCTCTATATCCACATATATGGTCCAAAATGAGCAGTCTGGAATATACTAGATATGTTCCAAACAATCCAATCCCCTCCGGTATTACAATAACATAATCGCGGTATTTCAATTTACTCTCTGAGCTTTTATTACATAGCAAAGTCTCTCATTTATAAGTACTACTGCACGCGCAGTCACATATTAGACAATTACCGGCGGTGCAGCACATGAGATGAGCGTACAGCTGCCCGTTTTGTTATTTTATACCCATATAAATATAATAATGCGTTTCCCCTTCCCCTCCTTCTCATTAAAACCGAGAAGTGCAGTGATGCAAGTGCGCAATTACGGTATGTAATTCACCCAAGAGAGAAGGCAGAGTTTTGATTTTTATTCCAATATTAATGCACCAGAGTTGACAAGGGCCATTTATCACGGATGTAGTTTCTAATAATTCTCTGTGTATTATAAACTCTGGCTGGTGTATGGATTGATTAATTGTTTTATTCGATTGGAGAGAAGGTTAAGTCAGTCTCAACTGCACACTTTCATCTCTGGCAAGTATGTTGTTATTTATTGCCTAACGTGTTAGTTATTTAATTAAATGCGAGAGAGTCGATAATTTTCTTCACTGATTGGAACAAGTAGTTTGTACTTAACTGTTAATAGGAATTATGATTACATTAAATAAATGCATTCATTTTAATAATTTTCTACGAATGAAATTACCATTTATATCATTTCTTGCACAAACAGATGGTATTTAAAAATATCCGTAAATATTAATAATCGTGTATTTCTTTTTAACCATTTTTGCCCCGAGCCGTATAAAATTTCTAACAAAATTCACGCGTAATTTGAGCAAATTAATTGTCATGATGCCATTTTCGCTGGCCATGAATTGTGCTAATTTAATTCTTTTTCCTTGTTCGCGCTGCCTGCAATAATTCGGCGGCTTCAAAGGGACGCACCGACCGCGCGTATTAAAAAATTAGTCACCCACTTCAATCAGTGTTAACCAATTCCTAGAAGAAGCGCAGTCGCTCCTCCGTGTCTCCCGAGAGAGCGAAAAAAATTGGCGAAATCGTATTATTGAGCGTGCGTTTCAACAATGGCAAGCCTGCACGCGTGAAGTTGACGACGATGATTGGCGAGAATTTTTATTCTATTCTATTATTGATTGTTGTGGCTATAGATTTGTCAGGAGTGATAATTGGGGACTTGAAAATTGCATGAGACGTTTACAACTACGGATGTGATGAAAGGACGCATAAAATTTAAATTATTAATGAAAAATATTATTTTAATTAATTGTTGTTTCATATTTCATATTACATTGTGCTCTCTAAATTGATATAAAAAAAATCATAAGCAAATTAATGCATGATTAATAATTATGGGAGATTTTTATGTGTAAAAAATTAAGCTTGAAATAAATAAAACATCAAAGTTTGAAAATTCAAACCGATCAAATTAAATTAAAACTCAATTAATTTATGCATCCGTGTTTTCATTTTTATTATTGGCAGTCGAAAACCTGATTTGCTCTCCGCGCAATGTTAGCTTTACATGACACGACCCCTTTCTTGATTGATAGAGAGCTGGAGGTTTTAATTACAGGTTTGTGCACATTTATTATTAATTTGTAACATGCTTCGTGGTGCGCATGTACCGCATAGCCTTGTGTCTCAATAAATTATCAATTTGATGCTAATGAATATCTAAAATCTGATATGCCTGCCGGCGAAACTCGGCGCTTCGGAACAGAGTATTAATTTACCAGAGCGATGCACGTCCGCGTTAGTTAAGTGAAAAATTAATTAATATACAGAGTAGAAATTTAAGCTTTAAATTTGATTTTATTTAAATTATTTTCAAACCCCAATTTTTTAAATATATGAAAGTAAAATTTTTCTTAATTTCTCTTGTTGAGTTCGTTAAGCGTTTCAATCCAAATGAAACTCATGCAATTTAATTGCACAGATTAATTATTACGGTCGGCACTTTGCAGATTGCAAGTGAGGGATTTTTGAAACCATTTTCCGTTGTAATTATTGCAATTAGAACACATTTGTGATCTGGACGGGTAATTAGAAAAATTATTACATTCGTTAAACCGGAATTATATATCGAGATCTTTATCGTTTAATAGAACTTGGAATTACACCGATTTCCCTTTTATAATCTAGTTTTCTGGGTAATAATTATTACCTAACCGAGGCGAGTTAAATTAATGCGTGTCATTCAGGGCAATTTTCCCCAAGAGTGTGTTTTATTTTATTGGATTAATTTATTTAAAAACGGCTCTCTTTATTATTTGCAATAAATACAAAATTTCAATCGCCCTCCTATTCTGTATCGCATATTATAATAAGAGAGAGACTGGCCGCGGCCGCTTGTATAAAATCGGGGAAATCTACACTTAAACATATGCAGCACGAATAACAATCATACACAAGTCCGCCTCTTTGATGTTCGCCGCCACATGGTGCATTTACAGCCGCCTCTGTACCATTCCTGCCCGCGTGTGATGATCACACCAACCTTGCCGCTCGGCCGACACTCCTTTGAGGCACACAAGATTCCGAAAGGGCTAGAGAGGCGCCCAAAGAAGTGCGCGTTTGTAATTATTTTGCTTATATGTGTTGCCTCATCAAGTGGCAAAAAATATCAAAAAGAAGATCCTAGACATGTGCGACTTTTTGCAACACATACCAGAAACGAAATTAAAATAGAATTTACAATGAGCCAATTAATATAAAAAATTGCGAGTTTTTTTTTTGTAGCAAAAGTTATAACGAAATATTCACTTAATTCTAACAGTTTGGCCACCTTTATAAAATGTTTAAAAGGATGGATAGAAGTACAACCAAAAGTTCTTGTGGAGGTTGAGAACTTACAGGAATTTAGATTTATTTATAAAAAAATCTCTGATTGGCTAAAAGTTTCTGCCAGTTTTGGACGGTTTTTCAGGACATAAGCTAACCTTTGAATTGTATCAGTTCTGATCAAATAAAAATATTTTATTTATTTTAGTACAAAAATACCAATGTGCATGTGATTTAAATAATTTAATAATCTAGTTTTTTTAATAAAAAAAATCTGGAATCTTCAATTTAAACCACTATTTTCTATCAGAGTACGTACAGGGCAGCAGCAGAACTAAAATTAAATTCAAATTTCAGTTCAAGCAAGATGAAATAAGTAATAAATATCAATGTTTTGTCTTCATTGCTGCTTATTATAGGAAAAAATTTGCGGTTGCTTTTGATACTCGTGTTTGTTATTTATTGTTTTAGAATCTTTAGCAAAAAAAATTCTTATTTATAATTCAAACTTTGTGAATTATTTTCTGTTCGTTTTGGCTTTCATAGAAACATTCTTTTGGCGTCTCTCTGCGGTCCATACTCATTACACAGCAAGCGTGAAAGGCTGCTAACTCATTCAATAATAAAATATATTAACAGCATTATCACCGTCATCGGAGTCATTATATATTATTGTGATTATTAGCCGCGATACCAATCGATACATGTTTAGTGGTTTTTATGCCCCACCTATAAAATACCATGATTGGGATGCTCGGCAGGAATTAAAAAGATGCATTTCATGCATTAGCCGTATCAATCGTTCAACACACACCACGCGCGCCGCTTCGATGTGTTCTGATGCGCTCCTGACATGATTACAGCTGTTGTCGGTGATCCTCGCGCCCTGATAAAAAGGAATAAAAAAGAAATAGAAAAGCAGCAACTCGCCGCCTTTGATATGGGTGTAACACAATTGGAGATGCTTCCGATCGATGGCAGGTGTTGAATTAATACATCGATAAGGAATAAAATTAATAGAAAAGCTGACATTTATTTGTAATAAAATTAGTCAACAGAGATTTTGTAAAGTTGAAAACATTAAAATTTCATGGTTTTCACAATTTTTTTTTGCTGGAGGCGGAATGCATTTGGTTCAAAATTATTGATAAACATGACATTTTATGCGAATCAAATGCTATGAAATTTTGAGACTGAAAATGTTTCTGATCTATAAAGTGTCATCAGATATCTTGAGATAGAAACTGTTAA